AAGATGGGTTTAAAGATCAAGCGCGGAAAGGAACGAGGAACGTTCCTCTGAAGAGTATCGCTCACCTGTCCTTTTCTTCATCAAACGTATGTCCACAGGCTGTGGTCCCTGTAGCTGCTCCAGAGCTGTACGCATCTGCAAAACAGAAGCAGACGGTGAGACTCATCAGAACACAGATCTTCTTCCTACTTACTGTTTCCTTACTTAAAACCATCTTTCTGGAAACTGGTTGTGAACCATGAGGTACATGTTCCCAATTTAGAATAACCAGTTAACCTAAGCCCACTAACTGTATGTCGTTGGACTGTGGGAGTAAAAAGTACCTGGAGTACCCATAAAGAACCCACGCAGACTCATCGTGAAAATGAATGTCATGGTAATTTTGGGCTTTTAAATATTTTTTTGGACTTTTCTTTTTCCAGGGTCCCAACCAATTAATTAAAATAAATTTTAGCAATTCTGCCAAGAAAAGTGGTCAAATATTCAGTTGGAATTATAACAGAAGCTTGTTGATGGCTTTCAGAAGTGTCTGGTGGAAGTGACATTCAGCCAAATGTTAGTGGGGATGTGTGTATGTATTTGAACCTGTGTGGATTAGAGAAAATCTAAAAGAAATTCAAACTTGTGCACCAAAGTCGTGTATAAAGTTATTCAAAATGTGTGCTTTACAATCATTCCACCCTGGACGTTATCGGCTCAGCCCAGCATATCCTATCACAATCCAACATCATACAGACTTTACTAATGAGCAGGCAGTTTACAGACTTACTAATGTCTGCGTTGGGAATGTGTGTTCTCACTTTCACCTGTGTCAAGTGATGCCTGGCAAAGTTTAGGGCAGTTTTTAATCTATTATTTGACACATTGTTGACATATTTGACATATTGTTGTACTTACCAACGAGACACTATTTTTTTTCTTTTTCCCAGTGTATATTAATTATGACAGATGTAAATCCCCCTCTCCAAAATGCTCAGATTAACACCTGGATAATTCCATATAGGGAAGGGAAAGATGGCAAGGTGCACAGGTGTACACACACACACAGGTCGTGAAGTGTTGCTGATTTCTATGCCAAAGTTTTACACCCATCCTGTGACAGTTTACAACTTTGAACTTCTTGCAAGAGATTCCTTACAACTCATGAAAAAGTTATATGATATACAGTTTGGTGTGTTTTTTCCTTTAAAAAGCATGAATGCCACTGAATGGCAAACTGTGAGCTTACGTCATCTTCCGTGACGTGGACAGGGAGCCCTCTCAGCATAATCGTTTTGCTCTCCTCCTCCTCCTCCTGCTCCATTTTGTAGTCCTGCTCTGGATAGTCACCATCATATTCATCATCAGATCTGCTGCTGCTGCGTCGTTTTCGGCTCCTCTGTAAGAGAAAGAAAAAAAAAAAAATAATGTAATGTTTAACTTCAAAAACAACAAATTCAGTATCACTCTGATCAAGACGTACTTCAAGCTGCAAAGGAATTCTTCTCCACTTACCTCTGGGCTGTCTTGGTCCCTGCGTTCATCACAGTAATCTTTGTACCTATCATGGACCCAGCGTCGATCATAATCCTTTTCCACATCTCTGCTTCGTTTTCCATAGCACTCTGGATCGTGTTTGCGCATATCAGAACCATATCTTCCAGTACGTTCACTACGACTAATCCTGCAAAAAGCACCAGAGACTTAAATATATGAGCACATGTTCAACGTGTTCCTGAACATCACAAGGATTAAGTGGACTTCACCTTCTATCAGTTCCCATGGTTTAGTACAGGACAAGGGTTTGTGGACAATCCTGTGGAAAAATTTGGAAAAAAAAAATATTATTAGTACTAACTGTTACTAACCATTTCAATCAATGTTTCGTGCAATGGTGTTCTTTACCTCTAACAGATCATGGTTCAGTCAGGCTATATTACTAGTTTTTCCATTAAAAAAATGAATATTAAAACTTTTTGTAATGTACATAGAACCTACATAAAACTAATATCGTTTTTCATGACTATGATTTTTTTTTTTTCAATTAATTATACATTTTGATTTTTTTTTTTCCCCATAGAGTGTAATAACAGTTGTCAGCTTGTCTCTCTCATTTATCAAATCACATTCTGGTGAAAATATGAAGTCTCCAGAGACACTGTGGACCAAATATATGTCACTGCGTTACACAGACTGTGGATGGAGTTTGCTCACGGGAACAGAAACGTTTGCCGTCAAAAGATATAACACAACCCTCATTCTCGCACTTTACATATGCGGTCAATAGGCTAGATAGTTTGTGTGTGTCTGTTTGACATAAAATATGTCTCACAATTTCAAAGAAACACATAGTATCAAACACATTTGATACTTCTAACCACTTTAACGTTCACTTGTAATATAATAAAACAAACGTGTAATATGTTCATTACACGTATTACAGCTAAGCAGAAGTAGTTTCATATTTAAAAAATATATTAGTAATTATTCCACTGTAAAATGGGTCAATTGACCAGCAACATAAGAGGATAGAGTAACTGGCGTTAGGTAACATGAGTTGAGCTACGCTAAAGATGAAAGGCAGCCAGAGATGTCACAGGCCTGATCTTACTCATAACTGCAGAAACACAAACCACATAATATGGAGATTAACTGAGGACATTAATTGTATAATTATATAAAACAGGCTGATTTTGTACCTTGCTTACAGGCGCTAACACAGCAAGGTCACTTTAGGGCTAGCTGTATGCTTGATTGATACGTCTCATGGATGCTGTAGCAAAACGTAAGCTTTACATAAATAAATAGCCGGAAGCAGATATAAAATGCAGTTCTTGTCAGTTTTACATACCGTTTTAATAAATCACCTCCCTACACACGATGACAGCCTGATACTCAAAACCTTTCTAGAAGCTTTTCCACTTGTTCCGGTCTGTAGCGACAAAAGTCTTCTTTGTTTTGACTTCACCTTTTAAGAGCATTAAAAAGCATTTAAGTGAGCATTACCGCCACCTACTGGTTATGATCCTTTACAACAAGGTGTGCCCTAATGCGGTGCATTAAAACAGTAAAATCGGTTTCTTTTTTTGTTTGTTTGTTTTGTTTTGGGGGGGGGGGGGGTGTTGCATACTTTGCATACTAACATGTTTCAGATCAGCAAAAAACAAACAAACAAACAAACAAACAAAAAAGAATCTGACAAACCAGAGTAAATACAAAATACAGTTTTTCATTGATGATTTCATTTAATGACAATGCAGAAAAAATCCAGACATTCTCCTTCGGGATTTTCTGGTAGAATTCATGGCTTCATAAATTACACCAAGTTGGCCTGAAGCAGCAAAGCAGCCCCTGACCAGCAAACTACCACCACAAAGTTTGACTGCTGGTACGATGTCCTTTTTATAAAATGCTCTATAATAGGATGTAACATGACTTAAACCTTCTTTTGTCTCATCAGTCTACAAAATATTTCCCAAGAAGTATGGGAAATCATCAAAATGGATTTGGAAAATGTGAGGTGAGCCTTTGTGTTCTTTTTGGTCAGCAGTGGTTTTCTTCTTGTAACTCTCCTGTGGATGTCGTTTTTATGCAGTCTCTCTGTGATTGTTTAATTACGAACACTAACTTTACACTGAACTTACTATTTATCATTAGGCCAGGTAGACTTGGGTAACCCCTTTGCTTAAATGAACAAACCCCTAATTTAAAGACTGAATTTTGTAATTACTCTGGTTTTATTTTTGTCTACTATTAACATTTCTTTGATGATCTGACACATTTCAATGTGACAAATATGAAAAAAGGAAAGAAAAAGAGGAATTGAGGGATAGTGCAAATACTGTTTCACAGCACTGTACAATTGCAAGTTGTCATTGAAGACATGAAAAACATGAAACAGGAAGACATATGTTAAGCCTTAAATAATGTAATAATGTAATATAGTAAATAAAAAGGTTAACCATAACCTTTTGGATGTGGTGAAGGATGACATACAGCGCGTTGGTGTGACAAAGAAGAAAAAGCAAAATGCAATGCGTACATCCCCGCGAGGTGGCGCTGCAGTCCCAGTGATTGCGACGCGGATGAGCTGCAGAAGCAGAAAATCTTCTTCATTCCCAGAGCCAACGCAGAGCAGTGGTCACAGCAGTGGATGCGAACCGTTAGAAATTATATAAGTTATTTAACTACCTCACACGGTGCATGGGGTGTGTCTGTCGCCGCTGGGGAACACACTAGGAGCGGCGGTTCCTGTGCTGAGACCACTGGCCAGCTCTCATCTACAGTGACCCATACATCCAGAAGCAGGTAGCCAGCCGGCTAATGTTAACATTAGCACTCCGCTAGCGTCAGCTTTGTTAATCCACATAGCAGTTTTATTAAATAAAAATGTTGACGCTTTCAACATATAGTTACCACACAGCGAAGATGAACTCAAACGGTGTCGTTTAACTGGAGTTTCTTAGCTCAATGTCAGTCGCTAATGTAACGGGCGCTGGCTAGCTAAGCGGAGGACCTGACAGCCCATCCCTGTAACGTCAGTCTCAGCCCGACTTCAGCTTCTCTTTTATTTATTACCAAAAAAAAGCCTACTGGTGTCTTCGGTTAAGCAGCTAGACTTGTTTTCTGTTTGTAGTTCTTATTTTGCTCTGTTGTTGTTATTATTATTTATTTAATTATTTATTTTTCCTGTCAGGTAACCAGACAGAATGGCTGAGCCGGAGCTTCTGCTGGACTCCAATATTAGACTTTGGGTGGTGTTGCCCATTGTCTTCATCACTTTTCTGGTTGGGGTTATACGGCATTATGTATCTATTCTCCTTCAAAGTGACAAAAAGCTGACATTAGAACAAGTTTCTGACAGGTGCGTCATACATCATATCTAATTATAAACTGAATCACAGGGAGGAAAAACAATGCTGAGCTCATATGTGTGACTTTTTCTTCAAATCCAGCCAGGTACTTATTCGGAGCAGAATTCTCAGAGAAAATGGAAAATACATTCCCAAACAGGTAGGCTGCCTAAAGTGAGTTGCAAAGTTGAGTGAGAACTCCAATGTATTTGTTTACTTGTATGTGTTTTGACTATATCAGTGATGATTTCTGTGTGTTTTAGTCCTTTTTGATGAGGAAGTTCTACTTCAATAACCAAGAAGACGGATTCTTCAAGAAGACCAAAAGAAAGGTTGTCCCACCCTCTCCAATGACAGGTGAGCCTTTTTTCTTTTCTTTTTTTTTTTTGAATAAAGCGCAAGCTGTGAAATTGTAACAACTTCTAATTTCTAAAATAAAAAGTGGTTGTTTAGTATGTGGCTGAAAGACATGGGACACGAGCAGTGTTTTCACAAATCTTTTTAATAACAGATTCTCCGAATTTCCACTTAAAGCTACGGCTGAGTCCTGGTAAAATAATTCATAAAGTCTTGGCTGATTGCAGAACTCCTTAGGTGGAAAGTGAGTTAGGAAGAAAGTTAAGAGTTTCTGAGGCAGAGGAGGAGAAAGTGCTGGAGCAAACCAGTACAGCACAATAGAAATTTCTCTCTTGCCTATTATTATTATCATCATTACTATGATTATTATCATTAATATTACAGTCCCAATCAAAAGTTTAAGACCACTTGATAGCAGCCTGTTTCAGTTTAAGCGTTGTTTTCAGTTTTGCATGCTCAAAAAAATGTTTAGTCTCACTCCCATTTCTTGCATGTTGATCCAACCATACAAAATGGTATTTTTTTT